ATATCTATCTATCTATCTATCTATCTATCTAAAAGCCTAAACAACTATCCAGCCATCCTCTACTTTGGGATTGAAAAAAAGAAAGGGAGGGAGGGAGGGAGGGAGGGAGGGAGGGAGGGAGGGAGGGAGGGAAGGAAAGAGAGAGAGAGAGAGAGAGAGAGAGAGAGAGAGAGAGAGAGAAAGAAAGAAAGAAAGAAAGAAAGAAAGAAAGAAAGAAAGAAAGAAAGAAAGAAAGAAAGAAAGAAAGAAAGAAAAGAAAGAAAAGAAAGAAAGAAAGAAAGAAAGAAAGAAAGAAAGAAAGGAAGGAAGAAAGAAAGAAAGAAAGAAAGAAAGGAAGGAAGGAAGGAAGGAAGGAAGGAAGGAAGGAAGGAAGGAAGGAAGGAAGGAAGGAAGGAAGGAAAGAAGGAAGGAAAGAAGGAAAGAAAGAAGGAAAGAAAGAAAGAAAGAAAGAAAGAAAGAAAGAAAGAAAGAAAGAAAGAAAGAAAGAAAGAAAGAAAGAAAGAAAGAAAGAAAGAAAGAAAGAAAGAAAGAAAGAAAGGAAGGAAGGAAGGAAGGAAAGAAGGAAGGAAGGAAGGAAGGAAGGAAGGAAGGAAGGAAGGAAGGAAGGAAGGAAGGAAGGAAGGAAGGAAGGAAGGAAGGAAGGAAGGAAGGAAGAAAGAAAGAAAGAAAGAAAGAAAAGAAAGAAAGAAAAGAAAGAAAGAAAGAAAGAAAGAAAGAAAGAACCCTTTCTTTCCTTTCCCCTTCCCCCAAAGTGCTGATTTCTTTGGTGGTTGAGAATGACTCCTCTCTTCTCTCTCCTTTTCTGCATTCTTTAGTTAGTTATTTAGCCATTTGCTCTGAAGCCTCCTTGGCTCTGGAAAGATAAGGGCCTGTTATTTACAAGCTGACTGCAAATTGCCACACTATTTGGCCTTGTTTTAACTTTATCTCAGTTTCCCTATTCCTCCTGCCCTGAAATTTTCCTAGCTTCTCACTGACCTGTAACAGAACCACCATCCTTTATTTTTTCCTCACACAAGCCATCTAGTCCATCCAGATTGAAATTACTCCAACCTACTAGACTAGGCTGCTTCTAAGCCTTTCCCTATTCTGTACCCCAGAATACTTTTATGTACTCTGCCAGTTCGCAGTTGGCCTCTTGAAATCCTGCCCACCCCATGTAGGACCTGGCCAGTGTTGCCTTCTACATCAAAGCCTTGCTCAGTCTTTCCAGGGGAAATTAATCTTGACTTTCTTAGCTCTGAGAGAGAGCCTTACAATTTGATTTTAGTATTAAATTTTCTGCCTTGTATTATAGTACTTTGTGGTATTTTTTTTTTTCTCCACAAACTAGATTATAGAATCTTTAAAGTCACCAATCCTCTCTCACCAAACCCTGTATACTGATGGCATTCAATCAGTAACTTTAAATGTATTTGGGTCTTACTATTTGTGCATTGAACTTAAGTTTATTGCTTGGGAATAATTCAGGTTTTGATCTGCCACAATTCCTCTGCAAGAGGAAGTTTATCCAGCAGAACTAAGCTTCTCATCTTGTTAAAATTATCTACTCACCTTAAAATGTCAATACAACTGGAAGTCCTGTTATATGAAACTTTAAAAGTTGTCAAAATTGCTACCTTTTATGGAAACCTCCTAGAAATGTTAACCTAAGAAAGGCAGAAGAATAAATCAGGAAGCAACAGACTGGTGGTATTTGAAGGAGATATAGTATGCTGGTTACAAGACAGTGAACTTTGAGAAATTACATATGACTTTGAATGTAATGTGCTATGTAAACATTCTTAATGTCATACCATATTAACAATGTTTGAACTTTTTAAGTGATTATAGATACACAAAAATTTACAAAATAGTAGAGGTCCATGTACCCTTCATTCAGTGCTTATACCCTACATAAATATATAATTACTAGAGGCCTGGTGCATGAAATTCATGGGGGAGGGGGTGTCCCTCAGCCTGGCTTCCACCCTCTCCAATCTTGGATCCCTCTTCCAATCAGGACTTCTGGCTCTTAACCAATCACCTGCCTGTCTGCCTGATTTGTCCCTAACCACTTCTGCCTGCCAACCCAATCGCCCCCTAACTGCTCCCCTGCTGGCCTGATTTATGCCTAACTACTCCCCTGCTGGCTTGATTGCCCCCAACTGCCCTCCCCTGCTGGCCTGATCACCTACAACTGCCCTCCCCTGCTGTGACCTGCCTCCTCTGCTGGGACCCACCTCCCCCACGCTGCACAGAGCCTCGGGACCCCTGGCCTCACCATGCAGGGTGGCTGCTGGGTCTCACCTCTGCTGTGTGCACAACCATCTTGTGAGAGCCATCTTGTGACGGCTATCTTGTGACAACATTAGGATGTGACAACCACCTTGGCTATTATTAGTATAGATATAACAATGTCAAAACCAGGACAATGAAATTGGTAAAATATGTGTCTCATTTTATCATATATGCTGATTTATGTACCACTAAACCAGGATACAGAACTCCCATTACCACAAAGTCCCATTATAGTCCCTCCTCCCACGCACAAATATGCCTAACTCTAGGTAACCACCAATCCGTTCTCCATCTCCAAATCAGGATTTAACATGTTTTTTTATAGAAATAGAATCATACAGTATGTGTCACATTATGATTGTTTTTAATCGCTCAGCATAATGCCTTTTAGGTCCATTTAAGTGTGTCAATAGTGTGTTCTTTTTTGTTGCTGTTGTTTTTCTAAATATTGTCTTCAATATTTTATCTATTTTTTAAATTTTATTTGTTTTAGTATAATTGCTTATATAAAAGAGAATTTTGTGGCTATTGTTCAGCTTGGCACAAGTTGTAAGATTCTGGAGTTCTGAAAACTAAGAAGCATTAATGGCTGGTGATACCTGACCTATCTGACCTGTCCCTACTCCACCTGCAAACCATGGGGATGTCACTCCCTGGGTTTGACTGAAACCTCTGTAGGAAGCATCTATGAAACTTCCTTGAGGAGGTGTTGTAAGTCATCAGCTTTATGTAGGTTGAACTGAGGATGTTTGAAAGTAGATTCCCCTCCACCATCTCAGAATGTGGCCTGGATTCCACAGATTGGCCCACCTGCCTGAAATCCCCTTACTGTGAAGGCTACTTATCTGCTCTCCTAACTCCCCAGTATTTAGGCCTCACTGTGTGGCAGGCACTGGAAATGCAGAGGTGAACAATACCAATTTTTTTTTTTTTTACATTGAGGTAACATTCTAGAGAAAGGGATAAATACACAAATAAAACATAGTGCAGTGTCACATAATGATAGATACTAAACACATAAATAAACAAACAAACATATAATGGGATATGCTATAAAATAACTGCGGAGCCGGGGATAGACAGTGATGGTGTATGTTGGGAAAGGGAAGCTGTTTGGTGAGCACAGAATACCTGAGCCACGTTTCAATACAAACCCGAGGGAAAGAGGCAGCTTTGTCTAAATTTGGGGTCAAACTTTCAAACAGGGAAAAATATCGAAGGTGAAAGGTTTGAGGCAAGAATGAACTTGATGTATTCCTGGAACAAGACCTAGAACTCAGGAAATAAGGTAAAAATAGGCAGAGTTAGGTCAAGGCTTTCAGAGTCTAATTCCTGGTGCCTCACACCAGAAGCTGGTTGAGGGCAAAGACTGAACCTTATGTCTTTGTATTACCTATTATTAAATTCAGTGCCTCAAATTTAGGAAATAGTTGGAGAGTGTCTGTAGGAGTATTTGTTTGTTTGAAGGATTTTTTACAAAAAGAAGAAATTCTTGATGAGATCAATGAGTGCAAAGGAGACCATGTGGACAATGTGTGGCAAGGGCCTGCACATATTATTGAGTGTGGTGGAGAAGGGATGAAAGTGAAAGGGTAGACCCAGAAGATAAATAAAGCTACCTTGCAATTTTCCTGGCAACCCATTCATGTTAGTGCACAGAATTCTCATTATAAAAACTTTCACATGATTATCTAAAGAGGATTTGCCTTGTTTCTTTTCTTTTCTTTTCTTTTCTTTTCTTTTCTTTTCTTTTCTTTTCTTTTCTTTTCTTTTCTTTTCTTTTCTTTTCTTTTCTTTTCTTTTCCTTTCTTTTGATTTTACACAGAGAGGAATTGAGAGGGACAGAGAGTTAGAAACGTTGATGAGAGAGAAACCGACCAGCTGCCTCTTGCACACTCCCCACTGCGGATGTGCCCGCAACCAAGGTACATGCCCTTGACCAGAATCGAACCTGGGACCTTTCAGTCTGCAGGCCGAGGCTCTATCCACTGAGCCAAACCGGTCCCGGCGGTATCTATTTCTTTTCTCAGAATATTCCCTGGTCCTCTCAAATTGTTGACACAAGCAATTAATGTCATTTTGAAATGGGAAGAATTTGTACTCTGTATTATCTATCTCTACTCTGTGAGTGCCTCACACCCAACATGAGCTCCTAGAAAGCAACCAAGACTCTTGAATGAGCAAGGGTTATAAGCGTTAGTGTATGACTGTACTCTTTACATTGGGGAATGGGACCCCAAGAAAGCGACAGACAGCACAGGAATTCTTTTACTGTAGTTGCTGTGCTTTTCAGGCGCTCAGACTTGAGTTATAAATAACACAGGGTTATCGCCATGAAAGCCCCGAGTGGCTGACCCTGCTGTCATTGTCTATGAGATACTGGTTCTGTGGAGAGTTAAAGGGACCCTCCCCTTCATGCCTTGAACAAATTCAACCAGTACTGGGTTCCTTCTTCATTCCAAAGCTTACTGGGCTATATTATAGTTACTGGACTATTATGTATCTTCCTTCCTTTTCTTTTTATTTTTTTTTAAAAAATCAGATTGTATGTACCTTAAGTTCATGGAGTTGACACATAGTATATATGCATGTAATTGAAATAGAAAATAGTTTTTCTGATATTAGGGGGGAAAGTAAAATTTAAAAATATACTAAGACTTAAACATTCCCAGATCCAGGATGTATACATGGCCCAATATGAAAAAAACCTGAAGAGAAAAATGCAGTCTATTATCTATGATGCCAACATAAGAGGAGTGATTAATGAAATATCTCTGATGCAATGTGAACAAAAAAGAAAAGTTGCTGAAGATAGACTGAATAATCTTCGTGTAAAACTGGCAGCATTGCTGCAGAAACTTCAGCTGGTAAGTGATGGGACTTTGAGTGGTGGGAATAGACTTTGTGGATAGAGCATTCAGCTAGCTTCCTCTCCTAACAGTATTATCTATTTACTGACCTTGGACAAGTCACTAACCTAGCCCTTACTCTCCCTCTAAGGATATTGAAATGACAGATAAATGAACTTTGAAAGTACATACTGGAACATTTTTAAAGGTTCGTTATTCTCTCTCTCAACAAATTTAGAATCTTGTCTTGTGCTGTTGGTATAATTTGATTACACTCAGGTCTCCTCAATAGTATGTTTCTAGTAGGAAATTTTTTCTAAATCTTTTTAGAAAGCAAACTGTGTTCATTTGTTTTTATCCTGATACATAAATAAAAGTAGACTCTTCTAATCTTAGAGTGTAGATTGGAGAGGTCAGGAAACACCATGTATATATGGACTATGTATGTATAGTTTAATGCATAAAGAATTGGGCTTCTAGAATTAAGGCGCTCAGTGAAGCAGCTGAAAGCTGGACTAATGATTAGCATCCTCACAGGAAAAACTCAATTACTAGAAAGCCTACAGTTTAGGACCCACCTGACTTAAATGCTTATTCTCTTACATACATAAAGTCTTCGATAAACTATTTCACCTTGTCAGTCTTCCAGGTGAATTGTTAAAGTTGTAAATAAAAGAGTATAAGGTCTACATTTTTACATGACATATTTATTTCTACATTTTTACATTCATGTTTATTTCCTAGTAATGGCAACAACTGAAATTCGCCATGGGCCTTTGTTGCAAATGTAACTACGTGAAGATTATTGATTTTTTGTAGAAAAATATTAAAACTGTAAAATTAAAAAAAAAAAAGAATTGGACTCCTAATATATTGAAAGTACATACTAGAACATTTTTAATGTTAGGTAACATTAAAAATTTTATAGTCTACTATATTACATAGAAATGTTAGGTAAAACACATAAAAAATTAAAATATATTTAGCCAAGGTTGAAAAGTCTTTCTGTAAATGCTAGAAATAAACTGAGAAATCAACAGTGAGCACACGGTGTTTTCCTCAGAAAGATCTCTAGCCTGGGACACAGAAAAGCCTTCCTGGACCATGGAGGGTGCACGGGTGGAGCTGAGTCTCTCCAGGGAGTCCTGACAGGGAGGACTGAGGCTTGTCTTGCCAGGAAGGGGTTTGGGGAAGGACATGGACTTTGAAGGCAGAATGCCTGGGTTTCAGTCCTGGTTGTGAACATTTCAAGCTAATAGTCCATTTGCTCTTAAAAACTAATAAACATATTTTTGTTTTCTCTGGGGTTTTGTCTTATATTGAATGCAAAATAAAGTGCAGAAAATACTTTTGCTTAACTGAAGTAGAGAGCCACCCCTCCCAACCTTGGGTGGTCTAGGCAACAGTTAAAATGTTTCATTATTAAAACATAAAGACAGCTAATGCTGTTCTCACATAATGGTAATTACATTTGTGCTTCTATCAGTGGTACTAAATGAGCCTATTACTCAAGTTGGCTTATTACTGTAAGAGTGGGATGTGTGTGCAGCTCCTTTTGTTTCTTGTGGCTGTAAAGGGTGGGAAATATTTTTATGGGCAAAAGGTCTAATAGAAAGGCCTGGCATATGGTAAAGTTTCAGTCATAATAATTGTTTCACTAAGAAGGAAAACTAGACAGACCAAAGAAATTCTATATCATAGAAATTGAATATCACTCTTTATAAGAAAAGTTCATAAAATATTCTCAGAATAGCAAATGTGTATTTGGCCAAGGAAAAAAAAGAAACAATAATCTCTCTCTCTCTCTCTCTCTCTCTCTCTCTCTCTCTCTCTCTCTCTCTCTTTCTCTCTTTGGTTATTTCTCACCCAAGGATATTTTCTCCATTGATTTTTAGAGAGAATGGAAAGGAAAGGGAGAAACACACACAGAGAGAGAAACATTGATGGTAAAGAGACACATTAGTTGGTTGCTTCCCGAAAATACCCCAAATGGGGCTTGGATCTAGCCTGCAACCCAGGTATGTGCCCTTGACCAGAATCAAGCCTGGAACCCTTCAGTCTGCAGGTCCATGCTCCAACCACTGAGCCAAACAACCAATTTGCCCTTTATGCCAAACCCCTGGGCTCTCCCCAAAATAGTCAGAGTAATTATATAATTTAATTTGCTTTCTTCTCAACGTTTGGTAAGGAGGCAAAATGTTTCAGCCCACAAAGTATGATACTCTTTAGAATCATTGGAGAGGGACTCAAAAGTTTCCTGCCCAAATATATTTGCTCTCATCCCCCACTTGAAGTTACCATTTTTTACTGTCTCTGATTGCCAGAGCAATTGCAGTGGAATAGGGCAGGGACTTGAGGTGAGGTAGACTCACCAGCAGACATGGCAGGCACATGAAGGAGCTGGGAACCCATCTGAAGTTCTAGGAGGACGTCTAGTCCATCAGGCAGAGAGCAGTATTCAGAGGATTAGACTAGACCAGTAGTCAACAAACAGTGGCTCGCGTGCCACATGTGGTTCTTTAGCCCCTTGAGTGTGGCTCTTACACAAAATACTATGTGCAGGCACACGCATAGAGTGCGATTGAAACTTTGTGGCCCATGCGCAGAAGTCGGTTTTCAGCCTGGGTGAGTCTATTTTGAAGAAGTGGTGTTAGAACACTCAAGGGGCCAAAGGGCTGCATGTGGCTCGCTAGCCACGGTTTGCCAACCACTGGACTAGACCAAATAAGCCGAGAGTAGTCAGTGTCAGAAAGGTCACACAAGGTATTCCCCAGGGTCAGTGATATCAATACTGTGGCACCTATCTCCAGGAATAGGGTTACATCACAAAGCTGGGACATAATACAATTTAGTCTTGTTAGAGGACCGAGCAGATCCAGGGCAGTGGGAGCAAAGCATAGAATCAGATAACAGATGGAGAAAGTAGGATGGTGGTGTTACACTGTTGTTGGGAACAGTAATAACATTGGGATTGTTTCTGAAAGATCCTTCCTAAATATTCTCTTTTCCATCACCTCACTTGGAGAGCGGGTTGATCCCATGGTTGGGCCTGAGGGGGGTGAGATTTAGGTCAGTAAAGAAGGAGCATTTGTTCAGCTGTTCCTGGATTAAGAAGCCCAGGGAAGGAGAGCATGAAATTAACTCAGAGATCTGGTGTGGGGGTGTAGGGGAGAGAAAAGGGAGCAGATGCGGGCAGCAAGCCAAGCATTGCAGGGAAAGATGCTGCAGATGAAAGAGGAGAAACAGAGAAGTCAAAATTTTCCTAGTCGTCCGTTTTGCTTTTAAGGCTAAAGATTCACGAATTTTTAAAATGGGAGGTAAGAACCTATGACAGAGAAAGACGAGTGAGGGGTGGAGGAGTGGCTTTAGGAATAAAACAACTAATTAAATAGAAGGGAAGGGGGGAAACAGTGAAATTATCCTCCACTAAAGAAGAAAAAATTATCCAACTTTCTAACCTCTTGCAAGCATAAAATGGGGTTAAATGTGAAAACATTTTGAAAAGTTAAAAGCATTTTTCAGATGCAAGGTGGGTTGTGATGTACATGAATCACAGAGAAGACTGTTCAGAGGCCACCTGAACATGGTTGTAGCTTGTTTCCCTGCTTTGACTGTTGCTTTCCTTTTCCAGGGAGGTCCAGTAGGAGACATGGAGCAGTTGGATAGTTACTTAGAAGCTTTGCTTAAAGAAGGTCATCTTTTGGGGAACGCTTTCAGTAAAGGGAGTACAGATGCAGGACATGGTCTCCCTTTAGGGAACAATGAAAGTACTTCTCAAAACTAAAAGTCAAAAAAGCCATTCCTCTCTTTAAAATGCTAATAAGAAAAAGGAAACTTACTTTCAAAAAAATATTTCCTCTTGTACTTGTTGTTATGAAGTTCGTCCTGTTTGACAGTGAAGAAATTGTACTAGTTATACTTTGGAAATGGAGAGTAATGAACAATTTACATACTTCCCGTCCTACTCCCTAACTCTTTCTGTTCTTTCAGAAACTATTTCTTGAGTTCTGTAATTCCCATGTGAGCAACTAAGAAAGATGGAAATGCCATTTAGGCTTAAATTTTGGTTTTATTTAAAAGACTGTAAAAACTGGAAAACAGTGGTTATCAAAATCTATACACAACTACAGAATCACCTCCTTCTGAAACTTGTGTTAAAAAAGACAGGGATTATGCCCTTTCTCCACCACAGTTAATACTCAGCAGAAAATACAAATCTTCAAAAACCTTTGAGCTATTGTATAGATGTCATAATTTTCTTATTGAGCTATTGTAAAAGAAACACTTTTCTAAGTATAATGTGAACACATTGTGTTTTTACATTTTCTTCATAACTGATTTTTTTATGTGTGTTTAGAAATGCCTGTTGCATTGGATGAAAACAATAAATACTTAATATTTATTTGTGGAGTTGCATATTTTAATTTTATGTACACTCACAAAGCATAAAATTCAGAACTTGTGAAGTGGCATATGATGCAAATTCTTCACCCCCTGCTTATACTTGGCCACTTATTAATTTTCTCAAGAGGCATGCTTTTACCAGTTCTTGTGAGTTCATTCAAGTGAAATCAGTGCATATAAAACCATAGAAATCATTATATAGATACTAGAAGCCTGGTGCATGAAAATTCATGCACTGGAGGGGGCTTTCCCTCAGTCCAGCCTGCCCCCTCTCACAATCAGGGAGCCTTCAGGGTTGGGAGGCAACCCGGTGATCAGGGGAAGGTGATGCCCCCATCACACCTCTGCTGCTGCCACTGCTGGCAGCACAAGCCTCAGCCAGCCCTGGTTACCTGAGCCTCGGATGGCCCTAGGGGGCTGGGGAACTGAGGGAACTGGGGGATTCCAGAGGCAGGCGCATGGAGCAGCTGGGCCCACCTGGGAACAGGCCCAGCCTTGCTGTGCACCTGCCACCTCGACAGGGCTGAGGGACTGGGCGTTGCCATCTTGTGGCTGTGAGCACCACCATTGTTGAGGGCATGGCAGTCAATTAGCATATTCCCTTTTTTTAAAAATATATTTTATTGATTTTTTTACAGAGAGGAATAAAGAGGGAAAGAGAGTTAGAAACATCAATGAGAGAGAATCATCAATCAGCTGCCTCTTGCACACCCCCTAGTGGGTATCTACATGCCCTTGACCGGAATCGAACCTGGGACCTTTCAGTCTGCAGGTCAACGCTCTGTCCACTGAGCCAAACCGGTTTTGGCAGCATATTTCCTTCTTATTGGCAGTGGGTGCCACCATCTTTGCAATGGTGTGATTGTCAATTAGCATATTCCCTCTTTATTAGATAGGATAAATGTGGAATAGCAGCCAAAAGATGTTGATGCTTTTCCACTTAATATACCTTCAAGATTATTCCATATTAGGATCCATACATGTAGAGCACTCTCATTTTTAACTGCTCCTTTTCACTCCATTCCAAGGACATACCAAAATTTACTTAACTATTCTCTTATTCAATAGATATTTACATTTTATCTATTATTTTGGATTTACATGCACACAACAGTGAATAGTATTATATATACATATTGATTTCAGAGAGGAAGGGAGAGGGAGTGTGAGACACTAATAAAGAGAGAGAATCATGGGTAGGCTTCCTCCTACATACCCCGCACTAAGGATTGAGCCCACAACCTGGGCATGTGCCCTCGACCAGAAATGATCCTGTGACCCTTCAGTCTTCAGGCCAACGCTCTATCCACTGAACCAAACTGGTTAGGGCTGAATATTCTTTTAAATATGTTCATTTTATATAGGATCAAGTATATCGGTTAAATAAATCTCAAAGATGAATTGCAAGGTCAAAGGGTATGTGCATTTTATTATTAATAGATATTGCCTAATAGCACTTCATACCAATGTATTAATATACACTCCCACATCAATGTATGAATGTCTTTTTAAAATACATTTTTATTATTGATTTCAGAGGGGAAGGGAGAGGGAGAGAGAAGAAAGAGAGAGAGAGAGAGAGGTGGGGGGGAGGGAGGAACATCCACGATGTGAGAGAATCATGAATCAACTGCCTTCTGTATGCCTCCTACAGGGGATTGAGTCTGCAGCCTAGGTATGTGCCCTTGACCAGAATCAAACCCAGGACTCTTCAGTCTGAAGGCTGACGCTCTATCCACTGAGCCAAACCAGCTGTGGCAGTGCCTGTTTCTTCACACGTTTACGTACCTAGTGAATTATCAATCTTCCTAATCTTACCGATCAAATGGATAAAATATGGCATATCTTTGTAGTTTAATGTACATTTCCTATGAGTAAGGTTGAGAATCTTTTAATGTTTAAAGTTCTTTTGAATTTTTAAATTTAACCTTTGTTCATTTTCTATTGGGTGATATTTTCTTACTGATGTATCTTTTTATATTATATTTTTATATTATGTGTATTACAAATATTTTCTAATAATTTTTCATTTAAAATTTTTTATAGTGGTTTTAGCCATATAGGATTTTAATTTTATTTGTTTGATTTTCTTTTGTTTATGGCTTCTGGGTTTGCAGCCATAATTAGAGAGGACTTTCCAGTGGAAAAAGTATAAAGAAAATTTACTTTGTTTTCTTATGATTATTTAAATAATTATATTGTTAAATCTTTGATTCATCTAGAATTTATTTTGGTGTTAGGAGTAAGTTAAAAATCCAATTTTGTGTGTCCAGATAGTCACAGTATTGTCCAGAATTATTAATTAAATAATCAATCTTCTCCCCTATTGTCTGCAAGCCACCTTTATTGCATATTAAATTCCTATTTATATTTGGGCCAAGTTCTTAAAAATAATTTCTATCATTTTTCATTGATCGTCCCTCTTATGTCAGGCCCCTGTTTTCTGGGTAGGATTAGGCAGTAATTTTATATTTCAGGATTTTCCTGTGTGTCCTTGCATGTTTCTCATTCAACTTAGATTTAGCGTTTTAGTCACCACCCACCCTCAAATTTTCTGTATTTTGTTAGGTTTGTGGTGATATTATGGATTAAGATAGAATTGCCTTTTTAAAATATCACATCCTTCTAACCAAGACCAACCAAAATATGTCTTTCTATATGTTCAAGTCTTCATTTGTGCCATGTATTAGCATTTAAAATATTTCTTCCAATACACTTAAACATTCTAGTTAATATTCATTGTAATTAATTAGATTTTTGCTTTGACCTATTAAAAATGAAGCCTTTTCCTTTTTCTCCCATTGTCTCATAACTGGTTAATGTTGTATAAAGTAAGACTCCTGATGTTTACTTAGATATCAATATTGCATCTAATATAAGAATTCTCATATAACTTGTAATAGTTTATTTTATCAACAAGTAATAATTATGTAGATTTTTTTAATATGATTTCTGAATCTCATGTCCTTGTATTCTTGACCTACCCAGACTTTTTCTTCCTTGAGGGATTTTCTTGGTCCCTTAAAAACTTTCATTACCTTTCTTTGCCATTATCAGTATCCATTCTTCCTTTAATTTAAAAATTAGTGATTAATGAATGCTAATGGTGATAACAAGTCAGTGCCTCTGAACGCCTTCTGGCAGACGTTTAGAAAGAGTCTGTAGAGGGACTTTCCAGAGAATAGATTTTGAAGGCTCTAATAAGATATATTCTTCATGTTTCATAAATGAATAATGCCCAGGGCTGAGTCCTTATTATCTCATCTACTCTAATCACTTTAAATAATACTACCAAATGAATGAGTTCCAAATTTCCATGATCTTATTGAGCACTTGTTATGTAACTCTATGAAATTAAAATTTTCTATTGAAAATCTATGATGATATTTTGAAACAAAATTAATCATATTCACCTTAACCATTACCACTTTCACTTAAGTCCCCAATGGCTCCTGTTCTTGAGGAATCTTGGGTTTTAAACAGGTAATCTGGATTAAGGAGTAAGGACTAAGGCAGAGACCAGTTTATGAACTGAGTCAATAATAGTACTGACTATTGGGGGTGAGTGGAATGGAGTATGGTTATGAGAGGAGTTTGGAACCAGAGGACCCCCTATGCGGAAATAAGGTGATTCTCTTACTACTCATTATGGCTGGCACTAGATGGCTTGAGGACCACATGGTAATTCATTTCTATTACTAGAGCATAGATGCAGATCATAGGCCAATTCACTCAGCTTGGGAACCAGAGTGGAATAAAACTAGCAGGCAGAGAGCCTGGGTAGATGCAGACTGGAGAGAAGAAAGAACAGCTTAAAAAAAAAAAAAAAGGCAAAAACAATGTCAGGAAATACAGTAAATATGTTCTTTTCTATGCAAACCACAGTTTTCTGTTCACTACATCTACAACTTTATTTTTACTACTAATATAGTTACCTCTTACCCATTTCCCTCTCCTATACATAGACATTCTTTTCATTTAGCAAAACTCATAATGTATAGTTTCCCTCGTGGTTTTAAAAATGTTTTTCATCTAAATTTATCTTCACAATAATTGGATGTGAAAAGGCAAATAGTCTTATTTCTCCTACAGATAGGGAAACTGAGGCTGGAGAACATAAGTAATGTTTTGATGTAGTTATTACATGGCAAACAAAACTTCAAACCCAGACTTCCTGATGGCAACTCAAAGTTCTTTCATTAGCCCCACTGTGTCACTGTAACACAGGCAGAATTTATGGCTAACAATATATGGCAAGTTATCCTCCCTAACTTACTGCCTCTGCCTTACACAGAGAGCTGTATCTCTGAATAGCTAGTTAGCACAATCCCATCAATTAGTGGCAAAAGATCTAGTCTTAAAACTGTACAGATGAGTTCA